TGTTCTTACTATGTGTATGGCCTTTTTTTAGCAATTTATAATTTTTGGCTCTTTTAGATCCCACAACAGCTGTTTCTATCCCCAGTTTACATATGAGAAAACCGGGGCCTAGGAAGTTAAGTAACTTGCCTGAAGTCCATGGCTAGGATTTTAATTCAGTCAGTCTCACTTTGGAGTCTGCTGTCTGGCCTAATTTTTAACCCTTTGAGTGCCAACCAATATCCTAGGAACTATGCTGAAATTGCCAAGGCATTTTTGCTGATTTTACAGCAGGTTAGGAAAATTATGAATCGCAAGTAAATGAAGTTACATATTCCAAAAACTTAAGGAAACCTTTACTACATTTGTTTTCATCTTTGACATATATTGTTTGCTGATTGTATTATAAAATACTAGTAGAAAAAAAAATTTGAACAAAATATATAATTTTAAAATAGAGGGACACCCTTCTACAATATCTTCCACAAAATCGTCATCTTCACAGCAAGAATTGACATATTTAGCAATATCATCACTAATAAAAGCAGACTTAGAACTGGACGCCATTTCGAAGCTTTAGGGCTACAAAATCTGAGTAAACTTCATAAAATCGTAGTACCTGTAAAAAATTAGGCAGATAAATGCCAGTGGTCAATTTTAGAACTACAAACATTCGGCATCATAAGTAATCTGCACTTAGGTGCCATCTGTCAATGAAGAGTGAACTACTAGCATCTGATAGTGACACTGCAGGAGGAGCGTGATAGCGTTCCTGGCACTTTTGGTGAAAGACGGGAGGAGCGCGATTGCACTCCCTGGCACTCTAGGGGTTAAGAGACTGAGTAAATATTTCAGGGGAGAGTCTGTGAAGCATTGTGGATCTCAGTGAATTCAATAGATACTTATTGAGCACCTGCTTTGTGCCAGATACATGGAAGTAAGACAGACAAGGTTCCTGTCCTCAAGGAGCATATGTTCTGGGGTGAAATCTGACAATAAGTAAATGAATAGACAAGGTAATTTTAGATTATCAGTACTATGAAGAAAAGTAACTGGTGTAGTAGATTACAGGGATAGGGTCCCTTGAGTATGTCACACAACTTTAAAAAAAAATTTTTTTTATTTCAGGGAGGAAAGGAGAAGGAAAGAGATAGAAACATTAATGATGAGAGAAAATCATTGATCAGCTACCTTCTGCACATCGAGCCCGCAACCTGGGCATGTGCCCTGACTGGGAATCGAACTGTGACTTTGTGGTTCAGAGGTCGACTCTCAATCACTGAGCCACACCGGCCTGGCTGTCACACAACTTTTAGTGTCATATAGATTTCATACTGTTGAATACTATCTCATAAGTATTTTTCTCTAATTAGCACACATCTGCTGAATTAAAGAAGGGTGTTAAATTTATTATGCAAATGTTTAGAGCTATTATTTATATTCTTTTGAACTTATAATTTGGGAGTATGTTTGGTTGCTGAAGAAATAGAGTCAAAGAGAAATACTATTTTAAAAGTTTCAAAAAACAATCATAATGAGGTTGGCCACCAGCTACATATCAGGCTGTTTGGGTTGATGGAGTGGTTCCTGGCTGCTGTCCATTGTGCGCTATGGGTAGTTCCAGTTTTGTTTGCAAGTTCGAGCCACCATTTGTCAGCATATGTATTGTCTTCTTCCACCATTTTTTTTAGAGTTTAGGGCAAGAGTCTCAAGGCATATACATTACTTGAAAGGAGTTCTGATGTCTTCATACTTTATAATAATAGCAGTTTTTATATTGAGTATTTCCTATGTGCCAGACTTAATTCATCATTATGGCCTTCCTTGTTTATTTTTAAAGAAAAGGGAGAAAGCTTAAAGGAGTCTGGTACTTGTCCAGAGTCACACAGTAAAGCATGTTAAAGCCAAGAGTAAGCCCAGGTCACATAGTTTATGTGCACTTACCTTTAATAGATTGGTTTCATGGTTCACTAACACTGAAGAATATTTGAGAGTCTTCAGAATTGAACTTTAATGAGCCCCCTTAACTTCATCCCATAAAAGAACAATGAAAAAAACAAGGACAATGAACTCTCCAGGTTTTCCAGTTCCAAATTAATGTAGTAATTAGATTTCAAAGAGCAACTAGTAGAGGGAAGAGTGTGTTTCAAGCATGTGTATGCAAAGACAATGTGTTCCGGCAGCCCCCTGCTGTTTCTGTCATTTAATACAGTTGGTTTGGAAAAAGTATAGATTAATTTGTAAGAAGGTTTTTTTACATTTCTGTGCTCTTTATTGGATTTGGTGTCTGTCCATATAATTGCATTGTATCTATCCTTGAATTTGGTATTAATAAAGTGATCCAAATTCTTTGATCTTAGGGAAAAAAACTAAGTAAACTATAAATTTCTGACTGACTAGCTACTTAATTTTCACCATTTTTCATTAAATCATTGTGATGCTCTAGCTTGGTTTTTGTGATCCCAACCCCTGAAAATTTTCGATTATGAATTTTGAACTAATTTTATCTAAACATTGTTCTCATTTATTTTTCTAGTGCATTGTCCAATTTGGTAGCCTTTAGCCACATATTTTAAACACTTGAAATAGCCCTAACCGGTTTGGCTTAATGGATAGAGCATCGGCCTGCGGACCAAAGGGTCCCAGGTTCAATTTGGTCAAGGGCATGTACTTTGGTTGCGGGCACATCCCCAGTAGGGAGTGTGCAGGAGGCAGCTGATCGATGTTTCTCTCTCATCATTGTTTCTAACTCTCTATCCCTCTCCCTTCCTCTCTGTAAAAAAAAATCAATAAAATATATTGTTTTAAAAAAAACAATACTTGAAATGAGGTTAGTCTAAATTGAGATGTGCTGTAAAAAGAAAATGTACACTTGATTCTGGAGGCTCAGTATGAAAAAAATATGAAATATCCCAATTTTTTATATTGATTACACAGTGAAATGATAATGTTTTGGAACTATTGGGTTAAATTGAGTATTATTAAAATGATTTCATGATTTTACTGAGGGTACTAAAATATATAAATATATAAATATATATATATATGTTTATTTTAGAAATCTTAATATATGTGGCTTGCACTTATCAGGCAATGTCAGTATGTGTGGTCAGTAACATCAAATGAATTCTATACAGTAGAATTTACCATGAATTAAACCTGGCATATCTGTATTTGCTTTTTTAGTTTTTAAATTTTTCTCAAGTCTAAAACTCATTTAATTAGATAGTTATAATAAAAGTCTTCATCTAACCCTGGTGGGTTTGGCTCGGTGGATAGAGTGTTCTCCTGTGGAATGAAGGGTCCCGAGTTCGATTCCGGTCAAGGGCACATGCCTGGGTTGTGGACTCGTTCCCCAGTTGGGGGGCGTGCAGGAGGCAACTGATCGATGATTCTCTCTCATCATTTGATGTTACTTTCTTTTCTTTTTTTTTTTTTTAATATATTTTATTGATTTTTTTACAGAGAAGAAGGGAGAGGAATAGAGAGTTAGAAACATCGATGAGAGAGAGACATCAATCAGCTGCCTCCTGCACACTCCCTACTGGGGATGTGCCCACAACCAAGGTACATGCCCTTGACCAGAATAAAACCTGGGACCCTTGAGTCCGCAGGTCGATGCTCTATCCACTGAGCCAAACTGGTTAGGCCAGGGGTGGGCAAACTTTTTGACTCGAGGGCCACAATGGGTTCTTAAACTGGCCCGGAGGGCTGGAACAAAACCATGGATGGAGTGTTTGTGTGAACTAATATAAATTCAAAGTAAACATCATTACATAAAAGGGTATGGTCTTTTTTTTTTTTTTAGTTTTATTCATTTCAAACGGGCCGGATCTGGCCCGCGGGCCGTAGTTTGCCCACGGCTGGGTTAGGCTGATGTTTCTATCTCTCTCTCCCTCTTTCTTCCTCTCTGAAATCAATAAATACACACACACACACACACACACATATATTTAAAAAAAAAAAGAAAGGTGTTCATCTAAATACTTGGACCTATAATATTTGTTTGGGCTTATGGAAAATCTGTTGCTTGAACAACAAAGTAGATACATAAGCCTCCTGTGACTCCCCCCCCACCCCCACCCCGCACCCCCCTACACACCACCACCCGGGACACAGCTGTTGCTAGGGGAGGTGTGATTTAGAGCTTTCATTAGGATAATAGGTGAAAGAAATAGAAAAGCTATTGAAAATAATTAGTTTAATTGCTAGTATTAAATGCCCACTATAACAGACTGTAATGAGTCAGACATTTTTTTAATGGGAAAACATAAACTACATTGATTTTTGTTTTAAGATATTTTTAATAGTTGTATTAGGAATAAAATATTTTGAAACAGTTGAAAAATATGCACTGTTTCTCGGTCTGCAGTGTTTAATTTATCTTCTGTATAGGTGGACTTCTGACTATTGTATTATAGTAAGTCATCACTGAATGTAATCAATAGGTTCTGTTGACTTTCAGTGAAATGACATATAACCAGTTTTACAATGTGCTGATTGATATAAACGAAATTTCAGTTCCTATGGCATCTCATTAATGCAATAACAAAATGTTGCTATTCGAGGACCTGCTATGCTCTGAAAGAGCTGTAAGATTAATTGGAATCTCTGTAAACTGATTCATAAATGACTTTATAGTTGTCAGTTTATAAAAAAACAAAAGATACCAATATCAGGGTCATACAGCTAAATGTGATCAAAAGTTTAAAAATATTTGCTCTGTTATTATTATTTGATTCATTACGTGAGGTTCCTATTTGCTCTTCTAGGCACCTCTTAGCAGTAGATGTTTTTGTGTTGATAGACCGTCTCTAGCAACCAGAGGAAGAGGATGTGCTAAGGCAAAATAGCTTTATCACCTTGTGATTTACCTCCCAACTTTGTTTACTGGCAACACAGCCAAGGAGAAAGTGAACCAGTCATATACTCTCTGAATGGCTTGTTCTAGGGATTATTCAGCTAGGACTCTACTTTCTTATATATAAACCTCATAATATATTTTAATATTAACTTTACAGATCCTTCTGCTGAGGAATTGAGAAAGCTAATGATGTTGCATGGAGGACAGTACCATGTGTATTATTCCAGGTCCAAAACAACACACATTATTGCCACAAATCTTCCTACTGCCAAAATAAAAGAATTGAAGGGGGAAAAAGTAATTCGGCCAGAATGGATTGTGGAAAGGTAAGTGTAATTTTTAATAAGGTTTAAAAATTGGAATACATTTTATTTCTATTATAGACATTTACATTGCCCCTTAAGTGTGAAAAGTAATTAATGTCTTAAAGAACACTACTATACTCTAACTCAGCTGTGGGCAAACTACGGCCCGCGGGCCGGATCCGGCCCGTTTGAAATGAATAAAACTAAAAAAAAAAAAAGACCATACCCTTTTATGTAATGATGTTAACTTTGAATTTATATTAGTTCACACAAACACTCCATCCATGCTTTTGTTCCGGCCCTCCAGTCCAGTTTAAGAACCCATTGTGGCCCTCAAGTCAAAAAGTTTGCCCACCCCTGCTCTAACTTCACATTGATAATTCAGGTGGCCTAGGATTTGACATCCTATTAAAAGTACTACATTCATGTTCATGGAACCTCAGCTACCAGGAATTAGGGGCAATCAGCCGGTAAGCAGCAGGAGGTGGTGATAAGAGAAGGTTGACTAAGCAAGTTATTCACTGGCAAATATTTATGCACCTATTATGGGCTAGGCAATGTTCCCCGTTTGTTTGGAATTGGTGTGCTGTAAATCAGTGATGGCTATTCATATTAACTTCTTAAGTTTAAATATGTCATTTGGAACTTTGGTAATGAGCCATACTTAGGTGATTTATATTTTAAAACTATAATATTATATATGAGTGATTGCTAGATTTATGAAAATTGAAAGTTAAAGGATTAAAATAATAACTTTATGTATGAATAGATTATAATCTATCTATAATAATGAAAGTGTAATAATGCTAATTAGACTGGACAGCTGAACGACCTTCTGGATGACATTCTGGATGAAGCCGGGGCTGCGAGGGCCGAGGCAAGCCACCTCGGCTGCGAGGGCTGAGGCCCTTGAACGAATTTCGTGCATTGGACCTCTAGTCCATATTATAAAAGGCCTGTGGCCATAACGACTGGTGTGATTTCGCATGCTGGGCCTCTAGTCTATATATATAAAAGCCTAAGCGACTGTTACGACTGGATGACTGGTCAACCAGCTGCTATGATGCACACTGACCACCAGGGGGCAGACGCTCAACGAAGGAGCTTCCCCCTGGTGGTCAGTGTGCTCCCACAGCCAACCTTCCACAGCCAGCCAACCTCCCCCCTTCCCTCCCCCTGTCCGAAAACCTGTGGTCCCTCTCCCAGTCTCTTCCCCCCTTCAGCATGCCCCATCCAGCAGGCCCCGGCCATCCTGGCCCCATTGGGACTGGACGAGATGACCCTTATAGGCCCTGATCGCTGGCCAGGCCTAAGGACCCCACCCGTGCATGAATTTCATGCACCAGGCCTCTAGTTATTATATAAAAGAATGGTCAGATTAAATTATGGAGTTCTAATGAAACAAACTTTGGTTTTTTCAATCAATTCCAAGCTTTTGAAAAAATCCTAAGCTTCACTAGTTTTGACACTTTCCATAAATTTATTCAGCAGATTGAGTTGTGCTCAATTCCTTTGTGTAGCAGATGTAGCAGCACAGATTCAGTGGGAGGCATCATAGCATAGCTGGAAAGCCTGTGCCTGGGCTCTGGAGACACACCGGGGTTCACATCAGAATGCAGGAATTGGCATGCCTGTCATCTTGTGTGACTTGGGGAAGAATTCTGCAGTCATTCTGAACTTGAGTTTCTCACTGTAAAAGAAGGCTGGTACTTGCCTGCTATGGTTATGTAAACTAGCACAGTGCCTGGCACATTGTAAAGGCATAATATATAAGGAGAAACTGTTTTGTTTCATTTTTAATTCTAAAAACATTAGCAAGTATCTATATTATAAAAAGCCTGTGGTTGTAACGCTGTAACGACCAAACAACCCGTCACCATGAAGTGCGTGGAGCATCTCTCGGTCCCTCCCCTGCGGTCCACAGGCTCAGATCGCAGCAAGGCTGGCAGGCGGGTGGGTGGGCACAGCGAGGCGCGTGTGGGTGGGCAGGGCTGCACAATTTTGCGTGCTGGGCTTCTAGTTAATAAAGTCCAAAAAGTTAAAAGAGCATTTAAAAAAAAAGTGCATTTAGCCAGGCTGGCATAATCAGTGGTTGAGAATTGACCTATGAACCAGGAAGTCATCATGGAATACCCAGTTGGGGCAAATGCCCAGGTTGTGGGCTCAATTCCCAGTGTGGGGCATGCAGGAGGCAGCCGATCAATGATTCTTCCTTGTCATTGATATTTCTCTCTCCCTCTGCCTTCCTCTCTGAAATCAATAAAATATGTGTGTGTGTGTGTGTGTGTGTGTGTGTGTGTGTGTGTGTGTCTGTGTATTTTAAAGTGTATTTAGCTTCCAGAAAGCCAGGTGTACTAGTATTTTATAGATTAAGCATTTTTTAAACCTTTGAGGATTGCTGAAGGTCCATTCCTAGAACATCTCACTGGTTCTTTGTGCTGTGTTCTCATGACTTAGTCACTATCCATTCATTATATAAGGTTAATGAACATGGCCTTTAGCTGTGTGTTTCAAAAAGGAATTATGAAGTTTTCAGTATAAGAAGTTAGGATCATTCCAGAATCAGGTGTGTGTTGTTGCATACAGACATTCCAGTCCTATCCTGTGCTAGGGCTAGAATTTTGATCTAGGGATATTTAGTTTGGCTTTGGAAGGTATGGGGTAACTCCGTGGACAGTAAGAGAGTGGAGGTGAAAAGGGTTCTTATCAGGTAGGAGTTGATTTGCTGAGAAAATGGTGGGGTTCATGACAGCTGTTTTCTTTACGCCTGCTCTTTCTTGCCTTGAATGCAACTAGAGGTAATAAAATAGAAAAAGTAACTGTGGCCATTGTAAGTTTTAAAATTCACTTTTATGGATAGCATTTTAGTTTGAAGTCAAGCCTAATCATCTGCTTTTAAATGATTAAAGTGACTTTGGATAACATGATTATGTGGCCTGTTTACTTCATTTTGTTTTGTTTTTGGTAATCCTCACCCTGGCATATTTTTTCCATTGATTTTTAGAGAGAGTGGAATGTGTGGTGAGAAACAGAGAGAAACATCAATGTGAGAGAGAGAGAAACACATCAACTGGTTGCCTACTGACCTTGCCCTGATTGGGCCAGGAATTGAGCCCACAACCGAGGTATGTGCCCTTGACCAGAATCAAATCCTTGCCCCCTCCATCCTCAGGCCAAAGCTCTAACCATTGAGCCACTGGCTAGGGTGTGTTTGCTTCATTTTATATATGAGAAGGCAGGGCTAATAAGGTTAACTACTTTGCCTGAGAACAGCAGGATTCAGTCCAGATTTTCTGACTCCTATTTGGGTCTGCTGTTTGCCATTTAATTAAGCTTGTTATAGGTGAATTGGCCCATGTGGAAATGGATCAGTCTTGGCACATGTCTTAGTATATAAAATAAATGTCAGTATCTATTGTATCATAGGATAGAATTCTTTTGCTTAAAGCACACTACTGTTTCCTTTTACACTCTAATCCCAATCTTGTTGATCTCTTTCCCTCCTCAGTGTTGGTGTATTTATTTTATTTACTGACTTTAGAGGGAGGGACGGGGGAGAGAGGGAGGGAGGGAAGGAAATATCGTTTTGCTGTTCCACTTATTTATGCACTAATTGGTTGTTTCTTGTATCTGGTATGTGCTCTGACCGGGAATCGAACCCTCAACTTGGGTGTATCGGATGACACACTAATTAACTGAACTACCCAGCCAGGGCTACTCCTTGGTGGTGTTTTAATGATATTTTATTATACTTAAAATTTTAAACATTGTATTAGCTATTTAATGGCTGCTACATGATATTCTCTTCTATAATTAACTTTCTTGTTTTTAGTTTGGGCAGTTTAAATAGCAGCTACCGCTTCTAAGTGTGTGGGGTGACTACTGGGCTTTGATTAGAATTCCCTGGTCTCTGTGTCTGTATCATGAAACCTGAGTCAGTGTACATACACATGATTATAGAGCCAGGACTGCTAAGGGGCTGGAAAGTCCCTTAATGAGACGCCTGTGTGCATGAGTGTAAGATGTGAGATTATTTTACTGAAGCCTCTGCCTTGAAAATCCCACACTTGCTTGCATATAGTATAAGTCAGTGATTTTCAAAATTTTGCCTGTTCCTTTTCTTCAGACAGTTTTATATTGAGATTTGAAGTTTGGAATAGTTCATGAAAAGCTGCTGTGATCCACCCCGCTCCTCACTAAGCAGTGAGTCCCATGGAACACAGTTTAAAAGCATTGTCCTAAGTCATTGCAGGTCAATGTAGTTTTTGTTGTTGCTTATTGTATCGAGTCTTTTTAGCATGGAAACCTGCCTCCCTCCTGTGGTTAGGTTCTCATGGCTCTGTTGTGAGTGGAGAGTGTCATCTCCATTGTTCTAGTTCATACCCCTTCTAGTGGGAGTGACTGATGCTCAGTAGAATCTGTCCTTTATTTTTAAGCTCCCAAATTCTGATATGTTAGCACGTCTATCATATACTCAGAGGCTCCAAAGATCTCATACTTCATATAGGCTAAAACTTTGTTTCTAATTATATTCAATGTAAATATCAGAGTGCTTATTTAAACTCAAATAAAACTTGATTGCAACATTTTCTTTCATGATATTTTCATTTTCCTTGTGGTTTTGTGTCTTGCTTCAATTTATTCTTTATAGAAAATGTGCATGACTCTAGTTTCTGGTGTAGATTTGGCTTTTTAAAAAATTTAATATTGGTGTCATTTACATTTTTCTCTCACAGCACTACAGAATTCTTCTAATATTATTTTTATTTGGCTAACTAACCAACACACACATTTCAGACTACACCCCACTGACTTGTTGTAGGTAACATTTTATTAGAAAATGTATTCTCAGTCCTTAGGAGCTAAAAAATGATTAGCTCCCCCCCACCCCCCCAAAAAAAGAATGAATAGCCTAACTTTCAGTATCTGTGTAAGGGCAAGAAATCTTATATTTTTATACCTGTTTATTTCCTTTTCTTAGCTCATAGTGTCTTAGTGAATAGTTGGGAAGTTTAGTGGACGTGGGGCAAAGGGAATTTTAATTTTGGTGCATAAAGATAATTTTTGTTTAATGGCGGAATGGACAAATGCAGCTCAGTTTTTCCTTAGCACATCATTAGATCCTTTCTTGCTTTAAATCCACTTTTGAATAAGGAAGAAGACAGAAGCCTGAATCCATGGGTGGGTGTGTAGACCAGTGTTAGATACTGTTTCTGTAATACAGGATAACAGAGACATTGACTGGAACCATAAACACATTAGATGTGCAGAATTGTTTCATATAAAGAAAGTGCTGATACTATAAGCTAGAAGAAAAAGTTCAGAATAGCAATTATGTAGCGATAATTTTGTTGTATATTAATTTTTTGTAAAATTTCCCCAAATCTGGTTATAACTGTCAGTGTAAAGTCATTGTCAGTTGATAGAAATAGGAAATGATTTCGAGAACTATTAGATACAAAGTTCTGTTTTAGAGATAACTTCAGTGGGGCTGGGCTATAGGACAAAGCAAGAATTAAGACTCCTCAAATTAAAAAAAAAAAAAAATTAAGACTCCTCAAAGAAGCCTGGCTGATGTGGCTCAGTGTTTGAGTGCCCACTCTCTACTTATCCCTTAGTTACAGCTATATGTAAGGAAAAGTTGGAGGCTAAGGTTAGGGTTCTACTTCACGTATTAAGTACCTCTACATCTGGCGTGGGGGAAGCAGGTGAAATACATAATATTATAAGAAGAGCGATCCATAGGCAGTTGAGACCAAGTGTTAAAGGAAGCAAAAAGTTTGATAAAGAATAGTAAATTAAGGGGGGTGGGGGCGGACTGGAGGGGGGGTCAATGGAGAAAAAAAGCGGGACGTATGTAATACTTTTAACAATAAAGATTTATAAAATAAAATAAAACAATAATATAAACAGCTTATAAAAAAAGAATAGTAATTTAATACATGACCTAATTTTAGGATTTTGATTCTGATATTTGGATGAAATCTTTAAACTTGATTAAAGTAAATTAAAAAATAAAACAAAAGTAACTTAGCCTGATAATAAGTATTTAGGTAAATGAAAATTGAAATGTCTCTGGTATGTTCTTTCCCATCATAATGTAGTCCTTATAGCATTTGGATACAGTAGGTGCTTTAGGTAGAATTACTAGATACATATTGATATAATTACATAAAGGACAGATAGACTAACATTTTGTAGTTCATTTTTAGCATATATCATCACCTTTTCCTATGTTCTGAGTTGACTAAGTATTTTAAATTATTTTTTGTTAGCTAATTCAGTCATTTCTTACATGTTTTGTAGTGTCCTTTGAGAAAATTAGATGTCAAGCTCTTGGATTTATGATATAATAAAGTATATTTAGTCTGTTACTTATTAATTTTTTTCTAAATAATTAAAATATGACTATCTTAGTATTCATTTTAGGTTTAAAGCCAGAAATGTTTCTAGAAACATTTTCTGATACTTAAAGACCTGTTGTAAAATTTGGATGTTAGCATAAGTACAGTATATTTATTGGTTGGCTATTTTAAATTGAAAATATTTTAAATGGTATAGTAACCATATATAATTTATTTTAATAATTTAATAATTAATTTATTAAAAATCAGATTTTAAGATGGCAATCAAATTAGTTTTAGTTATGCAGAACAAAAGAATAGTTGTTTGGGAGTGTCAGTTAATGTGCTAGTACTACCCAGTATTATAATAATACTGGTGTTACTCTGGTTTTACTGGTTATGTTTAGTAGGTAATGAACATTTGGAAGAGGATATTACAAATAGCTTCTGCCCTCATAGAGTTCATATCCTCAAATGGCCTTGTCTCAGTCACTCTTCCATTAAAATAGTATAAATTCTTTATTACTATTAAAGTTGAGGTCCTTCATTTTGATTTTGTCCCTTTTTTTTATCCTCACCCACAGAGAGAATATTTTTTCCATCGATTTTTTTTTTTTTTTTTTTTTTTTTCAGAGAGAGTGGAAGGGAGAGATTTGGGGAAGGGGTGGTAGGAAGGGATGTCAGTGTGAGAGAGACACATGGATGGGCTGCCTCCTGCACATGCCCCCACCTGGAGGCAGGGAGCAAACCTGCAACTCAGGTAAGTGCCCTTAACCGGAAATCGTACCGGGAGATCCTTGGTGCGTAGGCTGACACTCTAACCACTGAGCATGCCGGCCAGGGCTCTTTTAGAATTTTTCACATTTAATAGACCTAACATGAATTGTGGAAATTGGGAATCCTCATCTAATTTACTTATTCTGGGAAAATTTAATATGTGAGATGGGATTTGAGAAAGTATTGATGATTGTACAATTATTTGAGGGGAAATTGTGGTCAATGTTAAAGTCAAGATAAAAATATAAGCTAATCCAACTCTTGCTTTTCTCATCTTACTCTGTAGTTGTTGTTGTTTTGCCTCATATAGGATTGTTGGCTATTGATTTTTTAAAATCTCAGATGTGTGTCTTTTCATGGATGGGATGTCATTTTTCAAAGTATATTAGAATCACAAACACAGAGGGAGAGGACTAATAGGAAAGATGGCTTGCTAGTGAAATACTCCCATCATTAAGAACGTTGCTTTTTCATGGAAAGCTCATTTCCCCCAACTATTGAACTCTTACGTTGCTATTACTTTTTGTTGCAGCATCAAAGCTGGACGACTCCTGTCCTACATTCCCTATCAGCTGTACAGCAAGCAGTCCACTATGCAGAAAAGTCTCAACTTCAATCCTGTATGCAAACCTGAGGACCCGGTGCCTGGTCCAAGCAATGGAGCCAAACAGCTTAACAACAGGGTGTAAGTTTGTCTAGGGTGATAACGCTGCAAAGCTTGCTTTTAGCACTGGGTGTGGTTCCTGCTCTGCTGAAGAGAGAAATAGCTATATAACCTGGCCATTCACCTATGCTACACAGGCAGAAATAGGTGTGTGGGTGTCTTACCAAGAAATTGTTTTTATCATGGAAGTTTCATAAATAAAATGTAAACAGGAAAGGTTTTTCAGTTGTTTTAAATTCCCATGTTAAACTAATGGATCTTAAATTATTAGAAGTAAAATTTTCTATAGATTTTTCTGAATGTAATTACTTCCTTACAAGAAATTTGATAAGAATGTTGCTTTCTCAAAAACTGAATTAGCTATGCCACTTATACTTTTGTTATGTGTCATGCATAGAAAGCCAATTAATAAAAATGTTAATATTTCCAGGTTATTTTTGAAAAATTCCAAATTCATAACAGTTCTAAATATGTAAATATTTAATATTAATAAAAATTTAGTTGGTGACCCTAAATGTTATAGAGTTCAAGGTGAATCTAGAGTTTATCCCATGTGACTGATTTTTACACATATATTGGTTTAAGGTTTAATTGCAATAATCCTGGGTAAGTTGATTTTAAATTAATTGGTGTGTTACCTTAACTTGTATATCAGGTGGTTCATTATTACCATCAGCCTTCTCCTTATTTATTAAGTTGCTTGCTTTGGGAATTGGATATATCTTTTCTCAACAAGACCAGGAATCTAACCTGGGAGTATCCAATATCACTGCCTTCTGTAGTTTTTGTTGTTATTTAACATGTACTCATTTATAAGTATATTCAGATGATTTCATGTTACCTAAAACTTTTAATTTTTTTAGTACTATGAAGGTGTACAAGTAATACCAGAAAACATTTGAATACATAACTCCATATTTTTTTTTCTCACACTAATAAAAGTAGAAAAATAGATACAGTAGTTCCTCCTTATTCACAGGGGATTATGTTCCAAGACTTCCAGTAGATGACTAAAACCGTGAATAGTACAAATACCATATATGCAATGTTTTTTCCTGTGCATACACACGTATCGTATGATAAAAGCTTAATTTTATAAATTAGGCACAGTAAGAGATTGACAATAATAACTAAAAGTAAAATAGAACAGTTATAATAATAAACTGTAGTAAAAGTTAAATGAATAAAGTCTCTCTAAAATACCTTATTGTACTGTATGCACCCTGCTTATGATATGAGATGATAAAATGCCTCAGTAATGAGGCTACTCAGGAAGGTGCACAATTTAAAACTTACGAATTGTTTCTTTCTGGAATTGTATATCTCGTATTTTCAGACCACAGCTGATTGCGGGTAACTGAAACTGTGGAAAGTGAAACTGTAGATAAGGGGGCCTATATGTGTTTTTTGAAATTCTTGGTGTCAATTTTAGGAAAAATTTACCTATTAGATTTTACTTCTTAATACTTTTACACTATTGCTTACTAAATGTATCTTTACTGATTATATATTTCCTGTATAGCTACTTTGTAAATATCCACTTGTCTAGACTGAAAAACAAAAAGAATGTGTATTTGCAAGGTGTTTTCTGCTAATATATGCGTTTTTGTTGCATGTGTTGCTAGTAAAATATGAAGGATCTTATTTGTGACACAGAAAAATAGATGTTAAGCCTTTTCTAACTTCACTTTTGTTACTATAATCCTTGTTTTTCGGTATGTTCAATACATTTTACAAATGTCTTTGTAATTCTTTTGTGTGACATTTTGCTCCATAGCTTTCTCTTTATCTCAAAGGCAGACTTTCTCTGACATGTAACAGAATTAGACTTTTTTCCTTCCTCTTTTAATTGTTTTCAGTTGGTTTTCTTTTCCCCTTGCCACTGGCATGATAATTTGTGAGGTTGGACATACTCAGAGTTGGCTGTCCTATTCCATGAGATGATCAGCCTGAGCCTGAACCAGCCCAGAAATGGGTGGTAATGTTCTGTTGCATGCGGTTTTTCTGTGTATTCAGACTGTCATTACTAATATACCATGTTGGTATTAGGATGAGGGACTTTAGATTAAACCTGGTAATTCTGTGGTAATCTCACCTATGACTATGGCTCCCTTATCTGAAATCTGAATTGTAATTAGATTAACACTTTGGTTGTTTCTAAGAATGAATTATTGCTCGATAATTCAGGTTTTTGGGTTTTTTTACTTAGGTGATTCTTGAATGCAAATGAATTTTGTCTTTATTATAGAGCATTACCAAGCAAACATTAGAGGAGCCAGGATGTAAATTTAGCATAGTATTTGTCATTGGTCCTGCATTTATAAACTTGTTATCAGGAGACTTGGTCCAGATTACCTTGGACCACCTTGGTATCTAAATATGCTTTTTTATAAATGAAATGCCATTTTCCTCATTACTAGGGCAAGCGTCCTCATTTTTCTAGGTATAAGTCTTACTGAGCTAGCCATGCACATTGACCTGGTTCTTTCTTTTTTATCCATTTGTACAACAGTTGGCCCCATTAATGGATTAATGAATATGGTCTGTCAGGCTTGTCCTCAGTGGAACTAATACTGTCTGTCCTCAGTGTTGTAGCATATTGGATTTAATTTGCTGAAAAAATGCCTTACGTAAAACTGGAATTAAAAGGAGGAATTAAGAACTCAAAGTTTCTTACCTATTTTATGGGAGTTTGTTCATATTACAATAATTTAGGGAATATTTATTGACTGCCTAGTACATGCCAGACACTTTTACAAACTGGGTATTTAGAGCTTACAGATTCCATTTAATTTTTGGTAGGAAGCGTAGTTGAAAATAGTTTTTTGGATTTTTCTTAACTTTATAAGAATCCATTGTATGTCTTCTTTGGTGGTGTCTAAAGCTTAATAAAAACTAAAAGGCTGTGAATGTTCTAGAGTTTTCCTAGTTTTCTTGCTACTTTGGTTTAGCAAAAATTATCCTTTGTTGGAAGAAAAAGAATATAAAACTTGTGGCTTAATTTTTCAGTTTTTGGAGTCAGGGTTGGGGGTATCAAAGTGTGTATCACCAAGACAATATTTAAATGAAAAATTATTTTAGCTTGAAAGTAAGACATTATTAATTTAAGAACACTTTTTCCCTGCTTTAGAAATCACGTAATTAAGGAGCTTGAGACAGAAAAAGAAATCAAAGCCAATGGAATGAACAGTTGGAATGAAGAAGATGCAAGTAGTGATTTTAGTTTTGCGGAGCTGGAGCAGATCTTTCCAGAAAGGAAACAAAACGGGATTCCACCTCACAGAGACAGCCCTGCCATTTTCAATGGCCACACTCATAGCTCTAATGGTGCCTTAAAGATACAGGATTGCTGGGTGCCTGGAGGCAACAGTGTTGCCAGCAGGCTTTCTCCAGACTCTACCCAGAGGGAGGAGAAGGCTGAGAATAGCAGCACCGACTTCAGAGACTGCAGTGTGCAGCTGTCGCAACAAAGCACCAGGAACACAGATGCCGTGCGGAATCCACACAGAACTAATTCCTTCTCATTATCATCTTTGCACACTAACACTAAAATAAATGGTGCTCACTACTCCACTGTTCAGGGGCCTTCAAGCACAAAAAGCACTTCAGGACCTACTCTTAGCAAGGCAGCACCTTCAGTGCCATCCAGACCCTCAGACGGCAGTTTTATTTCAGACTTCTATTCTCGTTCAAGACTGCATCACATATCAACGTGGAAGTGTGAATTGACTGAGTTTGTCAATACCCTACAAAGACAAAGTAATGGTATCTTCCCAGGAAGGGAAAAGTTAAAAAAAATGAAAACAGGCAGGTCTGCCCTTGTTGTAACTGACACAGGTAGATACTAAAATTGTTTTCTTAATCAACAGCTTTTCTTGATCATTTTGTTCTTAAGCTATCATTGGTATGCTGATCAATACTAAGCTTAAAAGTCTTTGGCAACAGCAAGTTATATAGTTTACAGAAAGAATAATATTATAGAAAACTTATTTATTGGAATAATTTTTACAAAATTAGGTTTTAGTGTGGCTGATATTTTCTAGCTAATTTAAACAGTAACAAGGTTTTCAACATTCATTCATCATGTAGACATTACCAGTTGTTTAAGTTTTGAACTATGTAAAAGATAACGTATTATATTGAGTGCTTAAAGTCCTGTAAGAATGAATTAATTGGTTTGGTAAGAGTAACTGTTCATTTCTAAAAGCTTGCATCATAATGATTTTTAAATAATTAAATAACTTTGACATAGTTGTTATAATTGCAGTGGTAAACTTTTAGAAGGATTAAGTATTTTCACATATAAGTAGATCGGTTAATTGTAATTTTTTTATTTATCAAAATAACAAAACCAAAAATAATAAGCATATTTCTGTACCAGTTATTATAAATTAGTATCTGGTTTGAAGTTTTAGTTGCTTTTTACAGATTATACATCCCCTCCCGTTCCCCCCCTCCCCCCCAAGGGGAAGGGATCTCTGAGAACATCTACTATTACCCTTTAAGTTATAGCTGTGGAAACTGAGGTACAGAGAGAAGCTCATGGTTCTGCCCTAGAAAGTGAGGGAACTCTCTTTTTTTAATGTGTTTTGCTGGTTGATATATTCTTAAATGCTTTTTGTTATTTCTGAAATATTTCAGAATAATGTTACAGGTATTAGATTATCTTGACATCGTGCCTTGGCCTTGTAACCTAAAGGTCATTTAATTTTGAAAGCTTCAAAGAATTCATATGCATTAGTTACATGAATGGGAATAAAATGGGAAATTTTGTATGAAAGTACTCAATAGGTATTTGATATATGCATTCTGTACTACTTGAATATTTAAAACCATTATTTTGGGCTGTTTACATTGTTTATATAATACTTTAATGCAGCAGAATTAATATTGTTAAGATTTATAAGGCAATTTTGAAGGTAAAATAGAAGGTAGTAAGGAATTGTGTGGCTTTGGAGTTAGATGACATACTCTGACGCAACCCTAACTCTTACTCTCATGAAGCAAGACCATGGGCACATCAGTTCCCCTCTCTGAGTCTCAGTTTCCTCCCTGCAGTGGAATGCTATTCCATCATGCTCACCTGGTGGGGTTGGGAACTTAAGGAAGATAACACGAACAAAGGCTCAGTGCCTTGCATATAGAACAGTGGTTCTCAACCTTCTGGCCCTTTAAATACAGTTCCTCATGTTGTGACCCAGCCACAAAATTATTTTCACTGCTACTTCATAACTGTAATGTTGCTACTGTTAAGAATCGTAATGTAAATATCTGATATGCCGGATGGATTTAGGCGACCCCTGTGAAAGGGTCGTTCGACCGCTAAAGGAGTCGCGACCCACAGGTTGAGAACCGGTGATACAGAACTAGGTAAATGCGTTGCAGTCAGAATTTAGTAAATGGAGTGGCCTGAACCTTTTGGGCAGTAGATGTAAGTTTTTGGAAGCCTGTTGTGAAGAGAAACCTTCAGTACTAGTATTCTTTAATCCACCAGAGGAAAACTCCTTTTTGAGGCCAGAACTTTATATAATCTCAGGGGTCATATTTCCAAGGCTGCCCACCCTGCAGGGCTAGGGGAAAGGGTAGGGTGAGACTGATATGGAGGAAAGCTCTGGTTGTGGCTGGATTAGAGTTAAACTAACGCGATGGCCTCCCTGTTGCTCAGGATGATTAGAAGCCAGAGACCTTAGGAGAGAACACTCATATAAGCGTTAGAGCTGACTTTTGATAGTGTTTAAATGCAAGAGGAGAATTTATACATAGATTTTTGCTTCTTAAGTTATTTTTTTAAGTGTGTCTGTTTAGAACAACTTTATCGTGGCTTGAGGGCTCTGAATCAGACTTCATGGGATTGAATGCCAGCTCAGTCTCTTACTGGCTGTGTGACTTAATAAGCAAGTTATTATCTGTAAAATAAGGATAATAAGATTGCCTGTCTCATAGTGTTGAAATTCTCACATGTAAACCTCCTGCAACAGTGGTTGACACCTACCAAGCACTCATTAATAGCAGCAGTTTTTATTTTATCAAAGAATATTTGTAGACTACATTTGAAGTTACTGAGCTCTGTGTAACTAAGTATATAAAAACACCTTTATACAGTTTTATAAAATAGCACACAGAAATGTTAAGCATTAGACAAACTGTTAATTTGAGACTTTATTAGAATATACGCTAGGAAGAAAACATGGTATTTTCACAATTGATTTTAATTATTGGGAAGCTCAGTCTGTATCTGAACTACTTTTAGAGCTAAAGAAACTGAGATTTTCCTTTTCTTGAGGTGATAGAAATAATCTATAATATAATAGATTCTATATTTTTTAAGACTCCTACTTGTAAGCACTTAAAAATATAATTTGTAAAATTAACTAGACCTGTTACTTTTATATTAAAAATTAGTTTGGGTTTTGAACATTCTCTTTTTCCTTCTAGGAAATATGTCAGTATTGAGTTCACCCAGACATCAGAGCTGTATAATGCATGTTGATATGGATTGCTTCTTTGTATCAGTGGGTATACGAAATAGGCCAGATCTCAAAGGTCTGTATTCTTTTTTATGTTTTCAGAAACTTCATATGTTATTATAAATAAATATATATTCTAAGGATCACAAAATATCTATTTTTAAATATATTTTTATTGATTTCAGAAAGGAAGGGAGAGGGAGAGAAAAATAGAAATATCAGCCATGAGAGAGAATCATTGATTGGCTGCTTCCTGCACGCCCCCACCGGGGATCAAGCTTGCAGCCAGGGCACGTGCCCTGACCGGGAATGGAACCATGACCTCCTGGTTTATAGGTCGATGCTCAACCACTGAGCCATGCTGGGCCATAAAATATTTTTTAAGAAGTATTTCTAATTTTCCTTGGCAGAATCAATTCCTACTTCTAAATTTTCTGGACTCTGTTATCATGAGAAATATGTTTTTCTGCCTATAGAAATCAGGTCTTTAGGGAAGAACTCTTAAATTGAAGGCTCTGTCATCTTAGACGAGGGGTGGGCAAACTTTTTGACTCGAGGGCCACAATGGGTTCTTAAACTGGACTGGAGGGCCGGAACAAAAGCATGGATGGAGTGTTTGTGTGAACTAATATAAATTCAAAGTAAACATCATGACATAAAAGGGTAGGGTCTTTTTTTTCTTTTAGTTTTATTCATTTCAAACGGGCCGGATCCGGCCCGCAGGCCATAGTTTGCCCACGGCTGTCTTAGACTAATGTGGGCAGGGACCTGCATTGGGCATTTTCCATATTTTTATTTATATTTACTATTACTTTGTTAGTAAATGGGAATTTTTATGGTAGCATATGTCTTTAATACTTCCTCTTGAATAAATAACTATTCTGTACATAGTGAACATTCCAATTTTTTAATTGTAATTTTGTGTTACTGAATATCACTAAAATATGTTGTCATTTTGCAGTCTTTGTTTTAATTGAATTTCAAATATTTGTTAGCTAACCAATACTTTAAAATATACTTATTCTGGATTTTTCAGTGGTTCCTTCTGTGTCTGAGAGATGTAACATTTTCTTCGCAGAGTCAGTTCTGCCCTTATGGACAGCACAGAGCTACTGGGATTAATACCAGAGCTTTATTTTTGTCACAAGTAGTTGCTGCTTCACCTCTAAAAGGAGTATTTAAATGTTAAAAAATTGATTTAGCCGAAACCGGTTTGGCTCAGTGGGTAGAGCGTCGGCCTGCGGACTGAAAGGTCCCAGGTTCGATTCCGGTCAGGGGCATGTACCTAGGTTGCGGGCACATCCCCAGTAGGAGATGTGCAGGAGGCAGCTGATCGATGTTTCTCTCTCATCGATGTTTCTAACTCTCTATCTCTCTCCCTTCCTCTCTGTAAAAAATCAATAAAATATATATTTAAAAAAAAAAAATTGATTTAGCCCATTAGTGACTTCTTTATTATTGTTTATTAATTTTTGTTCTTACAACAAATGCGTCCAGTAAAATATGTGTGAAGTAATTATGCTGTAGTTTTAGAAGTTACAGTTATCTCATAACGTAACACACACATGCAGAAGTGATACTGAAACATTTTTATAAATAAACCAAAATAGGACTATATACTGAACATTTGATTAAATAGTAGGTGAGGTTGTGATTCCTCTGCATATATGTTGTGTCTCTTGCTGTAAAATTAGGTTTGTTTAGGTATTGCTGTTTTTCTGATATCGGAAATATTAAAAATCTAGATTAGTTAGTTCCTTCTCTCCTTAGCCCCTCCAGTCTGAACCTAGGATCTGAGTTGCCTGTTTTCCAACTGTAAGAAACCAAACAAAAACCATGGAAAGCTAGGTGATAATGTTGTTTTAAAGTTGAATAAATGCATCCAAATTGTCAGTAGTTTACTTTTTTGGGGTGTGCTGAGAAACTTAAATGATTTGTACATGGTGATTGATAATATTCAAAGATAATAATAGCTCCTTTATGGATTAATGCCTAAATAAAGCTAAAGAAAAAATGTCATGTTTTTTAAATCTTTGGAAAATTTTTCCTTTACATATTGTTAGTGTTCTTAACTTCCCTGTACTTAGATTTTAAAATAATTTAATTCTTTTCCTCCCAGGGAAACCCGTGGCTGTTACAAGTAACAGAGGCACAGGAAGGGCACCTCTACGTCCTGGAGCTAACCCCCAGTTGGAGTGGCAGTATTACCAGAATAAAATCCTGAAAGGCAAAGCAGGTACAAATCATGAGCTCTCTTTGAAGGCGTAGTGCTCCTGTTGAAGATTTCTGGCTTTTGCTGTTGGTATTGTCGTTACAGCAACAAAAGCAGTTGAATTAATTAGCCTTTTCATTCAAGTGCTCTAAGGTGTTAATGATTCCTTAAAGCAAAATTGAAATGTAATAATATCTATGACTGATTTATAGTTTTGCTTGGTTGAATTGGATGATGATATTTTCCTGGGACAGAGAGTGAAAAATGTTTTAAAAGTTGTGATTAGTTTGCTTTGTATAAATTTAGATTGGGGATAAAAATCATGGGCATTATTTTGTGGAAGCTGCTAGACTCGCAAGTTAATTGCTAGTTGTTTGATCACTGATTACAGTAAAGACGCTAAAGTTTATGCTGCTAAAGACTTGTATGAGGCAGTGAAGTAATATAGAGTAGGACTTTAGTTTACTGGAATAAGAAGATAAATATCAGCAATGATTCCTCATATCTTTGTTGAACCTATTTCATATTAGAAACATTTTCTTATCTCTCTGGCTTTTAAATTTTGGCTATTAATAAAATAAAAATCATAAATTTATCAAAATACTATTAAGATTTTCTTGTGGGTTTTTTTTTCTCCTGAGTATATTCCCTGAGAAGTATTTGCTTAGAAATTAAATTCTTTAACATTAATCAGTTTCTTCGTGGATGTTTGCAAAGCCAAAAAATGTTTTAGTTTGTCAAAAAAATTTTTGTTTGTCAGAAAAATGCTAGTGAGAAAGTAGTCAGAAATGAGCTGTACAGTGGAATGGAAAGTGTGCAGTTAAATTTCATCCCAATTATTTCAGGTCCCTAAATTTTCAGTTATGAAACCTTAGGTTTGTTTTAGCAGTGATCTCAATGAAATTAAGGCCATAGGAAAGCTAGTTGACATCACAAAGGCCTTTTTTTTTTATTAATCTTTTTTGTTGGTTGTGATTATCTGTTTACATGGTACAGGTATAAAAGAAAATAATTGTAGATACATACTAGTACATCTTTATGCTTCATGTGTGTCTGTACTTTCCAGATTACCTAAAGCTTTTCTCGGTCTTTAAATCTTTTAAGAGATTTTTAAGGTTCTGATATTTTGAGTGTCATGAGTAGATATTGAGGTAGTGAATATTTTGAGCTTATTGAGATTTAGTTGTATTGCGGTATTTGACAATATGGGCAGTTTCATAAGTATTGGTCGTATGGTTTTGTGGTTTTCTTTCTGTATTTTCTGTGTGGTATTAGAAACCAAGTAGCTTAAGGAAATGCACAACACTTGTCACATATTGGACATTAGTAAAAACTTACTGAATGAACGTTGAAAGAAGGAGAAATTATTATGTGCATACTAGTCAGTAACATCTCTCAGGTACTCAGTGCTCAGTTTCTGGGTAAAAAAGTGTTTGCCACACGCATTCTTATTTCCACAGTTTGCATCTGGAAGTTTGACCTTGTCAAGCAAGCTTTTCTTAGGAGTAGCTGAGAGCCAGTCCTCTTACTCTTTCCTTTCATTCACAAATGATCTGACCATAAACAGTTTGTTAACAAAACTTACTGTTACTGGTCTTCATCAGTTTAGCCACTGGATTTTCATGACATTGTAATGACCTTTTCTAATTCACATCCCTCCACCTCTTGTGTGGATGGTAAACTGGAAGGTAAATATTAGGAGAAATATTGAAATTTCACTTGCCTTTGAAAACTGTCAAAAATAGATTTTTTTTATCACTAGAAGAGATGAATATGATACTTTGTACTTTATATTCTTTCTCTTAACTTCATGTCATTCACTTTTGTGTTCTAAGCCTTTTGACCCATTAAGAGCTTACCAAAATATTTGTCACATATAAAATGGATAGATTGCCCTTTATTATGAAGTTTGGTTGCAACTAAGTTTGCACTTAGAACTTGTTACTTAGTACTTGTTTTATCAATGCCCTTGTTCCTCTTTCCTTTTTATTTCCTATCTTTCTCTGGGTCCTTATTAGATATGATACCAAATTGTAAAATTTTGAGGATAAAGTTAGGAATTAGAATCTTTGGCTTCTGCACACTAACCTTAAAAATAAATTCATTTCTAATGTTTTGACTTGTATGTCTAGGCAGAGTATTAGACCAAGTAGCATCTTTAGCCCTTTGTAAAAGCTTTATTTTCTTATTGGTCATATTCAGAAACTCTTGTCTAACAGTGTAAGCAGGACTCTCCATCGTGGCTTCCTTTGGTTAGCTGCCTCCTGAGCGATGCTCAGTGATGCCACTTCTCATTGATGACCCTCATTATCTGGAATCCCTTTATACTCGAGATATCATGGTTGGGCCTTTTTATCCCTCCCGGGATTCCATGATGCAGTGTTTCCTGTTCTTTCAACAACTTCAGTGTTCATTCTAAAGAACAACAGTTTTAAAATTCGTACTAGCCATAGATTTATTCTCAGCGATTTCTTTTTCACAGACTTGGGTCCTGGCCTCTGATTTCTCCAACCGTTCCTCCACATTCTCCATGTGCCCGTCTAGTTTGTCAAGTTTTGATGAGCAGTTCTCTACTTTGCCCTCCAGTGAGGACAGTGTGTCCCTGCATTTCCCCGAATCTCCCTTGAAGCAACTCACTCCGCTGGTGGAGGGATCCACGCACTCTGCTGCACTGTGGAAAAGGTCAGCCAGCCCAGCCAGGGGGAGCCCCAGGCGCTGCCTCTCAGGCAGGGCCTTGGGAGCGCAGGGACCTCAGATACTGTTCTCACCTCAAGCATGGTTTCTGTAATTCTTAAGACGGGTATCTTAGACTATTTAGCCTTTCAAATATAAGTCATCTAACTCCCCAACTTTTAATGCATAACTCATGGTTATACATTTGAAAAGCAGCTGGTTGTGGCTGTTCAAGCTTCAACTTTTTGTTATTGTTGTTTAGTTGTAGCCTCTTGAACTGTGATACAATCCTGAAATTCTCAAGGATTTTCAGCTTAGAGTAATGGACTATTAAAGCTGCTATGTAGTCTTCTAAGACGCTTCAGAAGTAGTCTGTTTTGCATTCTGTCCTTAATTTGTCATACTTTAACACATATTAGTCACAATATATCAGAAATCATAGCTCTAATTATATACTCTGCTGTTTTTATTTTTTATGTAAGTGGGATATGACCTCATTAAGATGCCAGTCCTCGGAGTTTGGTTTGCATTTATGCTTTGCGTGTATGGGTGCCGAATCCAGAAATGCTTATATGGGTTGTATAGTTTGTAAAAAGATGTTGACTACTGGAGTCAAACCAGCAACAGTTGTTTTAGCCCAGAAAGCCAGACACCTAGCCATGTTTTTCTGGTAGTGCTTTAACTTGGCTGATTTTTTTATGGAAATTATGTCTCTGAAAAAAGTCGAAGAGAAATGCTGAGTTTGAGTTGCGTTGCTACAATATACTCAGAATAGGTTTGTCTAGAATTAGCTGAAGTGGTGTATATTGGTCTGGTTTTACTAACTAATGGTATTTTTGTTCATAATAGAACTATAGCTGAGACTGTTTTTAGAATGATGTTTTTAAAGCATATTCTTCTTGGAGCCTATAGCATTATCCAAGACTGTAACTAAAGCTGTGTTTTCATCTGTTTCTCAGTTATGAGGGAGGCCAAAGGTGGTCCAAAGGAAGTGAAGTGCCTGTAGTTCGCAGACTCTTATACTTGTGTGTGAAGCAGGCAGTTTGGTTTGGATAGGAAGAGATACTGGTGAGCTGTACTATTTAGGCTAGAGTTGCCTTCCATGAAGCAGTTGATATTCTGACCACACTTAATGTTTAATTGAACCTGCATTGTTAAATCAAAAGTAGAATTTTCTGGAAGGGGGGATAATGTGAAGCTCTTTTACCTGACATATGTTCAAAAGAAAAGTCTTAAATTTAGGGTGAAATTTTTTTATGGTATATGACCTACTAAATTATTGTTTGATCAAATGACTTGTAGGAATTTGATCTTTGTTGAACATGTTAATTAGTTTTTAAGTATTGCAGTTCTTTTAGGAAACAGCAAAGAACATTTAGAGAGGTTTATATTTTCCCTTAACTGTTTCCCATGAGAGAGCGCTAATTAATCCTCTGAGGCTATAGGAGGGGTTCATCATCCTGATCACCTTTCATCCTTGTCCATCCAAGAGACTGGGTTCAGGGGATATTTCATACTTAGCTTTTGATCATTTTTTACAAAGTGTTATTAAAACAGAATACTTTCCATTTATTCCAAGCTTTTATCTGTCTGCTAGTAGAAAACTTAATGGAAACAAACCATTTTAGAATTACAGATTTCCTTTTATTAAATAAGATAAATACCAATGGGGATAAACTATATTTGGAGTTTGCTCAACTTATATATACATTTGTTTTTTATTTATAAATTTATTTGTATAAGAAAGGAATGAAAAATACATTTCTTGAATAGAAGTTAAGGAAAACCAGTTTTTAACATATAATCATTAAATTTTATTATTTTTAAAGCAGATATACCAGATTCATCACTGTGGGAGAATCAAGATTCTGCGCATACTAATGGAATTGATTCTGTCTTGTCGAAGGCTGAAATTGCATCTTGCAGTTATGAAGCCAGGTATGTGAAAATTAACTGTGTTATAATATTTAGGAATGGTTTAATTGTACTTAATTATTTTCATATAATCTTTGGAAGTGGATTCAGACATGCTAGTCAGGCCTGTGATTTAAAAATATACAGACATGTATGGAAAGAAATGGTTCTAGCCTTAATTCTTTCCATTTCTTCCCCCCTCCCCCGCACCTTACAAATGTAGATTTCTTTTTGTTGTTGTTGTTGATCCTCACCCTAGGACAGGGGTCCTCAAACTAAGGCCCCGCAGGCCACATGCAAATACAAATATTATATTTGTTCCCGTTTTGTTTTTTTACTTCAAAATAAGATATGTGCAGTGTGCATAGGAATTTGTTCATAGTTTTTTTTTAAACTATAGTCCGGCCCTCCAACAGTCTGAGGGACGGTGAACTGGCCCCCTGTTTAAAAAGTTTGAGGACCCCTGCCCTAGGATATATTTTTCCCATTGATTTTTGATTTTTTTTTTAGAGAGAGAGAGAGTGGAAGGAAAGGGGAGACACAGAGAAACATCAATTGGTTGCTTCCCTTACATGCCCCAACCAGGCATGTACCTCAGTTGCAGGCCGGGGATTGAGCCTGCAACCGAGGTACATGCCCTAGACTGGAATCGAACCTGTGACCATTCAGTCCACGGGCCAACGCTCTAACTGAGGAAAACCAGCTAGGGCTGTAGAAGACTTTTGATAAATAGTTTCCTGAGGAACCCATAAGTTCTACAGTGGAAATCAAAAGAAATTGGACACTAATTTTTTAAACCATTGTCTTCTGAAGAATGGAATTAAAGAATTAGATACTTTTGAATGGGAGAGGCTGTAGTGTTCATCTACTGTCATCATTCCTTTAACAGCTAAGAAAAATCCTTTATGATATTAACCCTTAATACTCAGTTTCTTTTAAAAATTACGTTAAAACTTGATTGCCTATTAAGTTAAAAATAAATAATTCCATACTGGCCTACCCAATAATCTCACTTATAATTGCAGTGTTGTCTACTTGTTACCACCAGCTTCGTGGATCTTTATCTTATAGTAAGCTTATACCTTAATTACTGTTGGCTGTCTTAATATAAGAAGAAACAGACATATTATATATGTTTCTCATACTTAAAAAAAATCAGTCATTTAAAAATCTATTATAATAGTTGTGAAAGTAGAAGGAGTAACAATGAATTAATTAAAAAGAGCAGTCTTTTTTTTTTCTTACAACTAAACACGGACATTTTTACCTTTATAACAGCAGGCCTTTACACATTGTTGGCAAGTGTTAAAGTATTTAATTTAAAATTTATAAAAACAGTCTTACATCAATTATATTTTTCAGTATTTTATTTATTTTTTTGAGAGAGAAGTAGGTAGCATCTTGTGGCTTTGTCATTCATACTTTTTTAAAAATTGAGATATAATTTCAGGTATACATAATGATTCGATATATGTAACATATTTCAGTCTCAATTAAAAGTTGGGGTTATTTAAGCAAGTCTAATCTGAACAAAAATTTTCAACTCAACGTCATCTAACCAAAATAGTTTATTTAAAATTTTCCAATTGTTTTATAAGAGGATATTTAAGGAAAAAGCATCATCTGTGTATAATTATAAAATATTTTAAAGTATTTTCCACTTGTGACATGTCAAACTTTTACTCCTAAACTAACTTTGCCTTTGATGACAAAATTGTTTTAATTTATTTCATTGTTTGTTGATAATGTAACTGAGTTAAAACTTATTTTAGTAAAAAAATAATTGTCGACTACCGATGCCTTTTGGACTAGTCTTAGTCTATTTGTTAGCAGAGGCAAGTTAGAGCTGATCTCATGTTGTGCCCAATAGGCTGGTGTTTTTCTCCCCGACTGAGTTATTGAACAGTGACTTGTGCTTCTGATGGCTGACAGTTGTGTCCCATATCTGGAGGGTGTGATGAAGCCCAGATACTCTCTCAGACTTTGGGTTTTGCTGGTTGATGAAGTGAAAGCTCCACCTTTCTGTGCTCCTCTTTAGGATCTCTCTTCTCACTCTGTGTCCCCAAGCTGAATGCTGGATTGGCTGCTGAGGCTGCCTCCAAAGTAGAAGTGTTCCAGCTCCTGGTGGGTCTGGATCTCCAGAGCCACACTTGTGTCTAGATTCCAGGCTTCTGTTGGGGTTTGGATGGTGCACCTGTATCACAGATGGTGGTTGTCAAGCTGAGTTATTACAGAACAATTGGGCTCGTGGTGTATGAGGGCCAAATGGTATGTAGCAAGCCATTTAAATGCCACTTAAATGGCAAATGTTTATTTTAAGGAGGTGCAGAAATGATGAACATGAATTTGAGTTTAAGTTGGGGAAAAACCCACAAAAACCACAATAGTGGAGTTTTGGTCTTTTAATTATAATTTTCCATTTTCTAGATGGCTCATTGCTAATGAAGGTCTCCAGAAAACAATTTTTGGATACCCTTTTGTTGTGGCTATCGAATAGTTATGTTTTCTTTAAGTGGGAAGATTTTTAAAATAATATATTCACAATTATATCAGAGGTATTTCTAGGTTGGGAGTGGAGACTGGACTTGTGGGGATGGTTAGCCCAGCTTTGTGCATTGATGAGTTTTCAGTAGACAGATTAATAATGGAGTTAGCAAAGGATGGAATGTGAACACCAGCTGGTGGAAGTTACAGAAAGGAGGCTGTGTGAATGTAGGTCAGAATATGCATTTATTGTTAGTAGTTTTACCCATACTTACTGAAAGAACACGCTTTGTCTATAAGTGAGAAGGTAGATATGTAGATGAATAGATGATATACAGATACCCTAGAATCATAGATTTTTAAGATCAGATAATTTTTAAACCTGCTTTTATGGGCTTTTGTAAGGACCCTTTGCTCTTCTCAGCGACATAGATGTCTTTTGTATACTAAATCGACCATGGAAATGACTTAGTGGTTAATTTTTTTATATTGTCTATCCAACATCAAAAATAATTGTCTGAGCGTAGCATGTGACCAGAAAGAGCATGATCTCTGCTGCATGAACTGGGAACAGCTGTTTCTGCCACACACACTCAGGAAGTATTGGTGTGTACCCTGCATGGGACTTCAGCGGGAGGAATAAGAAAGAAGTCATTGTAGTGGAGAGTAACTTTAGACTGTTTCGTAATTGTCTACTCAGTTATTCTACGTGAAACAAATCTCATTTCTCAACCATCTACTCAAGGTATTTTGCTTCCCTTGGTTATGGAAACCTCTTGGTTTTCCTTTTTTGTTTGTAGCGTCCTTACAGTGTCCAGTGGCTCCTAAACACTTGTCTCAGGATGTGCATTTGCACGAGTACATGAGGAGCTGTATTCTATTTTTCTAAGTGTTATGCCCTGAACATTTTGTATAAGTGAAAATTTTGAAAAGGAAATTATTGTAAATCTAAAAATATGATGTTTATAGGAATTATGTAACACATTTCTTTAAAAATGAATAATTACTTTTGTAAGTTTAGCTTTTACATGCTGAACCTATATACCTAGCATTGGAAATATTTTACACTATTGGGTAAAATATTTGCATTTCTAAATATTATGGCAAAAGTAGGTTTACAGGTGTTCATATGGAAAATATTATAATAAGTGATAATAATACGAGAATAAACTCGTTTGATGTACTCACAACTGCACACCTACTTTTTGTTTTTAATATATTCTTATTGATTTCAGAGAGGAGGGGAGAGGGAGATAGAAATATCAACGAAGAGAGAGAATCATTGATCAGCTGCCTCCTGCACGCCCCCTCACCGGAAATGGAGCCCACAGGCGGGGCTGTACACCTACTTTTGCCCCACCCCTGTATATATACTGCCCTACCGTACTAATGAAGACCCATTGATTATATCCATTCTTGGGGGGATGAAGGCAGGCATCCTCATGATCTTCCTGAGGCTAGTTTCATTCATGTTTCTTATCTACCACCTTCCAAAATGCCTGAGACATAAAATTTTGTGAAATGAATAAAATAATTTGTTTTACCTTCTGTTTTGTCTGTCATCACTTCCTTTATGGTCATTTTTTCTTTCTGTTAGATCTTTCTCATTTATTAGGGGCTTTGCAGTTAGATAATTATAACTGTTTTTGAATATATGAGAAATGCATGTGATTTTGCATTTTTTTCTGAGTAAGTTGGAGGATTCTTTTTTTTCTTGGCTTTCACTGTTGGTCTCAGATGGGAGGATGCCAGAGGCCTCTCAGTAATTAAAGACTACGTTTCTTAAAACAGGGCACACGCCATACTAAGTAAGCACTTAGTAAATATTTATTGAATGTATGTATAGAATAACCACTTGATGTATTTCCATAGGAGTATATAATCTGGTGAAAACATTGCTCATTATTTTGCTTGTGTTTTTACCTTTTTTTCTTGATTCATTATAGAGTAGTAAAATGGAATTTTACTAATTATGTATAAGTCCACAGTTATACTTTTGTGCTGAATGCTCCAGATATCAAAGGTAGTGTGGGGCATTGAGGCACACAACAAGATGTAAAATTTACCATTTTCAATTAGATCCCTCAAAGTGCTAGAACCCTGGCTCCTGCCCAGACTGATGTCCTGCCATACACAGTGCTGTTGGCATCTCAGCCACTGTGGAGGCACCTGCGGAGCTTGGAATTGGTCAGTGGGAACCGGGTGGTAGTGGGACGGGTACATTTTGTCTGCTTGTCACATAGCGCTGCTTTGTATAGTCTTTTGTTTATATTTTGTCTTTGGGGGATGAGTCCTGGCCAAATGGTTCCCGTGTCAGGAAGAAAGCCTCTCTTGGATTCCTGCTCCCTGTGGTTGAGATATCTCCAGCACAGGAAGCTGGCATCTGCAAAGGAGCCAAAGGTGTGAGTCTTAGGAGAAATCTCCCATTGCAGGCAGGAGACAAACATTGTGATAACATATTTTGGCACATCTCCATGTGTCATTCACACTAATCAGACAATTGTGGAATTCTCCTTTGGGGGGAAGACAAACCTGAAGGTTTTTTATGTTTATTTTTATCCCTAATGAGAATGGAGTTAAATGAAAATTAGTGTATTATTGGCTTGGGATATGGTATCACGTATTTGATACTTTATTTTGCATTTAATATTTTTTAGTATAACTTCCATTATGTCTTTTTTTTCTCTCTAGACAAGTTGGTATTAAGAATGGAATGTTTTTTGGGTACGCTAAACAACTTTGTCCTAATCTTCAAGCTGTTCCATATGATTTTCATGCATATAAGGAAGTTGCACGCACGATGTATGAGACATTGGCAAGGTATAGTATGTGATATTGTCACTGTGTGTCTGTCCTGCTTCTTCTATCTGATATTAAAGAGTCCTGTTGCTTTCAGATGATCAGAGTTGTGGTTTTTTTTCTTAATATACTTTTATTGATTTCAGAGATGAAGGGAGACTCTAGGAGAAAGAGATAGAAACATCAATCATGAGAGAGAATCATTGATTGGCTGCCTCCTGCACTCCCCCTACTGGGGATGGATCCCGCAACCAGGGCATGTGCCCTGACTGGGAATGGAACCGTGACCTCCTGGTTCATAGGTCAATGCTCACCCACTGAACCATGCTGCAGGGCTGTTCGTTGCTTTTGATAGACTTTTTTTCTCTCAGGAACCCTTTCCTCAGCATTCCAGTATGGCAGCCTGTCCTCCTTTCTTTGGGCAGATCCAGTAATCGGTAGTTCCATCTTTTTGTGCTGCTGAACTTGGTCAGAATCTGATTTTATATGTATACTAGAGGTCAGCCCTCGCAGCTCCGGCGTCGTCTGGAAAGATGTCCAATCTAATTAGCATATTACGCTTTTATTAGTATAGATAACTTGTAGTCAGTGGTTCTAGTTTTCTTTCCATGCAACCAGACAAATGAAGGAAAGGAATTTTTAACCCCTTGAGTGCCGGGGAGTGCGATCGCGCTCCTCCTGTCTTTCGCCAAAAGTGCCCAGAGCGCTATCAAAGCTTCGAAATGGCATCCAGTTCTAAGTCTGCTTTTATTAGTGATGATGATATTGCTAGATATGTCAATGTAGTAAAGGTTTCCTTAAGTTTTGGAATATGTAACTTCATTTACTTGCGATTCATAATTTTTTTCCTAAACTGCTGTAAAATCAGCAAAAATGCCTTGGCAATTTTAGCATAGTTCCCAGGATATTGGTTGGCACTCAGAGGGTTAAACCTGGTTATTCCCTTTTAATACATTGGAATTATTGTTTTGTTTAAAATTAGAATTGATGGTGAACAAGTAGAGACTCTGTAAAGCCCTTTGTCTTCTAAAATTAGTAGATATGCCATAGTTAGTTTCTGTAAAAGTTAGTTTTAGTAATAGTTTCAAGGTGCTTGATTAGTTGGCTTGAGAAAAGGTGATTAATTTTTAAAATGTTTACAGTGTAGGTATATTTAATATCAATTAAGAACTCAAAATTTAAAATAAGTATATGCCAGACCATGTGTACTCGAGAGCAGAAATCAGCACATTTGTCTGTAATGATTGTGTAGGTCTGTGTCCCAGCCACTCACCTCCTGTTTAGTGTGAAAGCAGCCCCAGATGTTATCTTATTCCACTACATTTTATTATCAAAACAGCCATCTGGACAGTGGGCCAGGGTGTGCCGACCCCTTGAGCTGTGTGGGTGTTCTAGGAGATAGACATTTGGCCTCTGTTCGCCTCTTCCTTGACTTTCATATGCATTATTTTGAATTCCTATTTATTGAGTATCTATTTATATGGACAGCTGTTGATGCTGCTAGTCCTTCAGAGAAGAATATGGTCCAATCTCTTACTTTGTGGGAGCTTGCTTAGCAGGAGCGAAAATATAAAGGGGCAGATGAAGTTGTCTGGCATCAGTATGTATGCCTGAGTGCTGACTGATGAGCCCCAGGTGTAATCACAGCTGTCCTTAAAACCCAAATGCAGGAACATTGGTATTGCCTAGTGAAAGGTGTGCTTTTTAAATCCTGTTCTGAAGCTGTCAGTGCTAGTGTCCGAATGAGGGCTGGGAGTGGCTGACTCAGCTAAGTAGTGGTCCTCATGTGCTCTGGGTCCCAGAGCCAACTGCCAGCCATGCATGTATTAGTCCTGATAGAATTTTAGTCTGTTGAGACATTTTCAGTGGCATGTGGCTATTCTTTCGGGGAGGAAAAATCCGTGATACTCTCCTACCGCCCTTTGGAAATCTTGCCTTAGCTTCCTAGTCACCATGCCTCAGGGCAGCTTTCACTCTGAACAGGTTCTTCAAGTCAAGCACGCCCTTCTGCTCTTACAGATGCCACCTTTTATTTAGGCATAAACAAAACACTCATTCATTCTTGAATGGATACAGACACTTAGTCTGACGTGTTGTGTTGCCTACAGTAAGGTGTAGGTGAAGGATGAGGCCTATGCCTCCTAGTGTACATTACCAAGTGGGCTCCTGAAGATACATTTTGGTCCTAAGGCCTCTGCTTGCCTCTCACTCGTGGTCCATGTATTTAATTAGCATTGGAGCACATGGCAATGCTCCTCTCCCTTTTATCTTCTCTAGATAGTTAAAACAAGCTTTTGTGTGTGGATACTTCATAACCAAAAACAAAAACTTAAAGTAGCTCTCATGCTGGGAATGTAGACGGTGTCCTTTTAGATGGGCATTTCGGGTGATTGGCCATTGTATGTTGTGTCTCGGGCCTGCTACTGTGAATGGTATGGAATTGTGGCATTTTTGTTTAGGGCAGCATTGATTACTTATTTGACAGATATATGATTTTTCTATTCTTTAGGAATTCTGGTAAACCATGTCTGAAAATTTTTTAGATTAAATGTTGACAGTTCTAACACACCTACTACTTTTCAACTATTCAGAGGTTTATAAAGGTGTTCTGAGTATAGAGAATGGAACTGGAATGATAATTCCTGCTGTTTTTTGGTAGATGATATGGAAAGAGAAAACACTAATTAATTAACTTTGCACTTGGGCCAGTTTAATGAAAATGCTAATATATTTTTTATCATCTTAAGTCTTGTAAGGAAGTGTTGGAGGGGGTACCATGGAAAGACTGTATTTTCCACGTTTGTGGTGATGGATGCAGTTGTAGCTGTGCCTCATTGCCTGTGCTTTGTGTTGACAGCTATACGCACAACATCGAAGCAGTCAGCTGTGATGAAGCGCTGGTGGACATCACTGAGATCCTTGCGGAGACCAAGCTTACTCCTGATGAATTTGCAAGCGCTGTCCGCATGGAAATCAAAGACCAGACTCACTGTGCTGCCTCTGTTGGGATTGGTTAGGATCTAGCTTCTCTCCTATTGTTCACTTTACTCAAAGTATTACTTTGGATCACTTAATTTTTAGGAGTGAATTTTGGGTTTTGTTTTTATTACCTTCCTGCGTAGGCCTCTTCCAAAACAATTCTTATCATTGCTCACAGTTGTCCAGTACATGAGATCAAAGTGTGGGAAGTGCAAGTCAGTGGTTGACAATATCTGTGGAGTAACCAAGTTGGAGCATTTCTCACCTGCTCTTCAGAAATGGGAGAATTGAAGTCCGTATGTGTGAACAGCGTACTTTTTGTCAAGTGTGGACAGAAGCCATGTTTGCAGCAGGGTGGTGAGGGTGCGGAGTTCAGTGTGAAGTTCCAGGCCTGTTGTAATCAGTTACTTTCTGAACTCCAGCCTCCTGGACTGTGCGGCCATCCTGTCTCCACTCGCAGTTCCAGGCATCGCCTCGTGATGGTGCCCTCAGCGACGGTCTCGTCTCTCACCCATTGCCTGGTTGATCTTACGTCTTGCCCTTGGTTTCCTCGTTAACTCCCACCATTTATCCTTTGTGGACTTGTCTGCTGTGCCCTCTGGAACCCTCTCTCTCCATACCTAACCTTCCCTGAGCGACCTTCTCCATTCAGAACCTCCTCAGCACCTCTCTTCTTGCCCTTCTCTCAAGTGGATCTAGTTTGTCCCTGCCATGCTCTGTGCCACACACTTGAGAGGGAGGGACAGCTTCCTCTTGGCTTCACTGTCACTTTCAGTCATGACTTCTCCATTCTCATTCAAATACCCTTCTTCCTCTGAAGTTCCTGTCTCATTTGTACCGGTGGCCTTTTAATTTATGCAGATAAAAGAGCCAGTCCTAGTGAAGGAAGATTTTTATGGCTTCATTTCCCGAGAGGACCAGAGGGCATGCCATACCATGCAGGACCGTGGGGGGATGAGAGGGAGCACCAGAGCTCGGTGGGGAGGAGGAAGCAGGAGTGAGAGGAATCCTAGTCCTGAGTCTTTACTGGGGTTTCTTTAGGAAAGGCCGGCCGGGCAGAGCAAGAGTAAACAGCTCAGGATTGGCTACTCTGGGTACTTCCAGTGGCCTTAGGGCTATAAGGGTGGTCTCTGGTGGCCTGTACCTGGCTCTGGGATGAGGGAGAGCAGGAGCATATTGGCTTTGTGTGTGAGTTGGATAAGGAAATGGGTGGGGTGGCTGGCTGGCCTTGGAAGGCATGTTCGCTAGGAAGTGTTTACTCTTTAGAAATTAGCTAGCCTCAGGAGGGCAGTCTGTCACTGCCCAGCAAGATTTTTAATGTGTCAAAACAGCATAAGATACAGAGAGTAAAACAATGTCCACACTTGACAATACATTCATTGCATCCCTCTATTAATAGCTGGCCTGCCTGGTGTTTGGCCTGCAGGTCCTTCTCATCTTTCACTTAGGGCTCACCTTGTGCAATTCCGATCAGGCACAAGCTTTGGTGTGCTTTTTATTGGACGTATTTTTAACGTACAAGTATGACGATATGAAAAATTCTTTCAAAAAAACCAAAAAATTCTTTCAAATTCAAGCACATAATTAAAACAAAATTCCCACATGATATTTCCTCTCCTCAGCCCCCTTTTCTTCTTTAGAACTCACCATATTTATCATTTTGGTGTGACTTTTCTAGGACATTTTCTCTTCCTGAATATCTGTTTACCCTGGGAAACACATGGATTTTATAGGCGTCTACCCTAAAATTAAGACGTGTGCTTTCTATAAGCCTCCCATCATTTTTGGAGGTGCCATTTTTCACATACAAGTTCACCTGACATGTTGTTTCTCAGGTCCCTGGCACCTTTGCAGGAGCCTTTCCTTTGCTCTGCTCTGGGTTCGTGTTCACAGCCACACCCGGGGCCTCACTGCCAGGGTCCATCTTGTTTCTAAGTCTCTCATGTCCTCAGTTTCTACTATACGTGTCCTGATTGTAGAGTGAGACTTCTGGTTCTTTGGCTTTCTTTTTCCCAAGTCCAATAGAGTTCATTTGGCCTGATTGTCCTGCCTAGCCTGGATCTGCTGGTTGGTAAAGTGAACTAATTTCTGATCATTGCTCTCAACTTTCTATAAATCACCATTGTTTGGACTGCTTTCTCTATTCCTTTACCTGGGTAGGAGATGTTGAAATGATACTTACTTTGGAACAAAGAGGAACATGGTTACCTCTGTTCAGTAACCATGCTGGTTATAATCTCTAGTAAACAAAATTTTGCTGGTTTTATGCTGTATTTGAAATGATCAAAATTGTAAATAATTTCATTATTTATAGAAATTTGCTCAGTAACCTGTCTGGAGATGTCTTTGTTAATAAATTTTAAAAATAATTGTGACTATTTCTTGAATAACTTTTGTTTTTGTTTTCTTGTTTTATAGGTTCTAATATTCTCCTGGCTAGAATGGCAACTAGAAAAGCAAAGCCAGACGGCCAGTACCACTTAAAGCCAGAAGAAGTCGATGATTTCATCAGAGGTCAGCTAGTTACTAATCTACCAGGTGAATACAGACCTTTTCTTTTTAACATTAACTTATTATAAACAGTTATTAGTGCTAAAAGTTTTATAATGTATCTCTTTTCCAAAACATGAATTAAGTATTTATTTATTTATTTTTATTTTTTTAAATATATTTTATTGATTTTTCACAGAGAGGAAGGGAGAGAGATAGAAAGTTAGAAACATCAATGAGAGAGAAACATCAATCAGCTGCCTCCTGCACATCTCCCACTGGGGATGTGCCCGCAACCCAGGTACATGCCCTTGACCGGAATCGAACCCGGGACCCCTCAGTCCACAGGCCAACGCTCTATCCACTGAGCCAAACCAGTTTCGGCAAGTATTTATTTATTTTTGAGTGCCATGAGAAAAATTTAGAATTTCACAGTGATTATCTCAATTGATTTATCAGGATCGTAATCTTACATTTAGCTTTGCTTTTAATGTGAAGTATTTCTCAAGTAGGAAGATAAGGAATTCTAAGAAAACATTTAAAGCAAATATGATGAAGTTGGTCCTTTAAATAAATCATAACTAAAATAGTGTACTTCTAGGTGAAAGATAAAATTTTGAGACTCAAGTCACCTACTTATAAAATTATCCTGCTGAACTAATGACAGTTTTCTGATTTTAGTGAGCAAATAGTTTTAATTAAAAGGATAAAGTGTATGAGCCGTTAACTCAAAGATTGAAGTAAAACTTGCATCTCCATCTTTCTTGCCAAGGGCAGCATATTTACTTTTACCTTTTTGTGTAGGACTGTATGTAAAATCTTTGCATGGAGAATCATCAAATAGGGTTCATTGCAACTGAAAAGTGGTTGCCTTTTAAAAGGCCTTGAATAGATGTGGTTTTTTTGGGGGGGAGAGGACAGTTTCTTTCATAATTATTAAGTATTTAGACTTGCTTTCTATGGTAGATGCCTCTTTCTTTTTTTTTTCTTTTTTTAAAATATATTTTATTGATTTTTTACAGAGAGGAAGGGAGAGAGATAGAGAGTTAGAAACATCAATGAGAGAGAAACATCGATCAGCTGCCTCCTGCACATCTCCTACTGGGGATGTGCCCACAACCCAGGTACATGCCCTTGACCGGAATCGAACCTGGGACCTTTCAGTCCGCAGGCCGACGCTCTATCCACTGAGCCAAACCGGTTTCGGCGATAGATGCCTCTTTCTAAGGAATTTCTCTAAACCATGCATCAGTCCTTGATTCTGTCATATAATCTCACCTCTTTGCTATAAGGCAGCCTGTCTGAGCTTCACCAAGCTCCTGTGGGTCTGTGGTGGGAAAGTTCAAAGTAGCATATTTTGATGAAAGTTTTTTTAATTCATTTGGTTGTTAAAAATGGATTTAGTGAGCCCAGCCTGTGTAACTCAGTGGCTGAGCATTGACCAATGAACCAGGAAGGAGTCACAGTTCAATTCCCTGTCAGGGCACATGCAGTCAGGCAGCATGCCTGGGTTGCAGGCTCGATCCCCAGTGGGGGGCGGGGGGTGCAAGAGGCAGTCAGCCAATGATTCTCTCTCATCATTGATGTTTCTATCTCTCTCTCCCTCTATGTAATGAACTCTAGTCGATGATTCTCCACGGAAAGATTTTACATAAGGAAGTTGATCACACAGTCCTACACAAAACGTGAAAGTAAACATGCTGGCCCTTTGGCAAGAAAGATGGAGATGCAAGTTTTACTTCTATGAGTTAATGGTTCATACACTTTATCCTTTTAATTAAAACTATTTGCTCACTAAAATCAGAAAACTATCACTAGTCCAGCAGGATAATTTTATAAGTAGGTGACTTGAGTCTCGAAATTTTATCCCTTCCTCTCTGAAATTAATAAAAAGTAAAAATGGGGAGAGACAACCAAGATGGCGGCATAGGTAAACACCTGAACTTGCTGCCATGCACAACCACATTAAAACTACAACTAAAAGACAAAACGAATATCACCCAGAACCATGGGAAGGCTGGCTGAGTGGAAATTCTACAACTAGAAGGAAAGAGAAAAGCGCATTGAGTCTGGTAGGAGGTGCAGAGGTGTGGAAGTGTAGAGGTACGGAGGCACGCACGAAAGGGGCTGGGAGCTGGGTACGCTGTTGTCTTTTTCAATCGGGAGGGAGATACAAGCTCCTGACTGCTCTGAACTCCAGTTCCGGGCGAGACTTTGGGGACCCAGACTCATACGGAGAGAAACTGGACTGTCTGGCATCGGGCTGGAACATGAGGGCAGCTTTCTCGCAGAAGTGCTTGCAGTGATAATAGTTCCTGCACGGTGCTGCGGGACACAGACCCTGGGACCTCTCTGCCGCAGTGCAGACTGGCAGCCATTGCGGTTTACTCCGCCCTGGTGATTCCCTGAGACCCTGACCCACCCAATTTACAACCCCACCCAAGCTGTGTACAGAGGCTTTTGCATATGAATGGCCTGGCCTTTCTCTGCCTAAAAACCTGTCAAACTATAGTTGGGTCAGAGAACCCCAGAGCTTCCAAAAGAAGGCCTAAGGCTCCTCAGCAGCCTGCATTACTTCACAGCTGTGCCTTCTCTGGCCACATCCAAACAGATCTATCTGTAACTCCTGCTGGGTGGCCTCAGGCAGTGGCTGACTTTGCACTTCCTTGGAGATCCATGAGCCAGTCTACCCAGTGGTCAGAGTGAGACCATCTAGATTACAACTCCTCAGATCCATAAGAGACACACTCAGGGGGCAGACTCAGCGCCAAAGTCCCATGAAGCACGTCCTGCCCCATAAAGGTGTCTCTAGCACAGAAGTTCTCCCATTGTAGACACAACGGGTCCTCACAGCCAGTTGACCTGGAGGTCAATTCCTCCCAGTGATCCCAACAGCAATCAAGGCTTAACTACAACAAGACTGTGCACACAACCCACAAAGGGGTGCACCAAGAGTGTCCACCTCAGGTAATTAGGGAGGCTGGGCCCTGTAGGACACCTAGCACACAAAGCCACTCTATCAACACAGGAAAGCAGCCAAAATGCAGAGACAAAGAAACAGGTCACAAATGAAAGAAATGGAGGAAGCAAATTACTGGACATAGAGTTCAAAACCACGGTTATAAGGTTACTCGAGATTCTCCTAGAAACCTCTGAGAAATATAGTGAGACCCTCAAGGATATGAAAAAGAACCAATTAAAAATTAAGTATACACTGACTGAAATAAAGAATAATATACAGAGATCCAGCAGCAGACTAGAGGATCGCAAGAATCAAGTCAAAGATTTGAAATACGAAGAAGCATAAAACACCCAACCGGAAAAGCAAAAGAGAAAAAGAATACAAAAATATGAAGATAGTGCAAGGAGCCTCTGGGACAGCTTCAAGCGTACCAACATCCGAATTTTAGGGGTGCCAGAAGAAGAGAGAGAGCAAGATATTGAAAACTTATTTGAAGAAATAATGACAGAAAACTTCCCCTACCTGGTGAAAGAAATAGACTTACAAGTCCAGGAAGCGCAGAGAACTCCAAACAAAAGGAATCCAAAGAGGACCACACCAAGACACATCATCATTAAAATGCCAAGAGCAAAAGACAAAGAGAGAATCTTAAAAGCAGCATGAGAAAAAGAGTTAGTTACCTACAAGGGAGTACCCATAAGATTGTCAGCTGATTTCTCAACAGAAACTTTGCAGGCCAGAAGGGAATGGCAAGAAATATTCAAAGTGATGAATAGCAAGAACCTACAACCAAGATTACTTTATCCAGCAAAACTATCATTCAGAATTGAAGGTCAGATAAAGAGCTTCACAGATAAGAAAAAGCTAAAGGAGTTCATTACCACCAAACCAGTATTATATGAAATGCTGAAAGGTATTCTTTAAGAAGAGGAGGAAGAAGAAAAAGGTAAAGATAAAAATTATGAACAACAAATACATATCAACAAGTGAATCTAAAAATCAAGTGAATAAAAAATCTGGTGAACAGAATAAACTGGTGGATAGAATAGAGTCAGGGGCATAGAAAAGGAGTGGACTGACACTTCTCGGGGGGGAAGGGAGTGTGGGGAGTGTGGGAAAAGACGACAAAAATCGTACACCTATGGACGAAGACAGTGTGGGGGGCAAGGGCAGAGGGTGGGGTGGGAACCAGGTGGAGGAGAGCTATGGGGAGAAAAGGAGGAACAACTAATAATCTGAACAATAAAGATTTTTTTTAAAAAAAGGTAAAAATGGATTTGATGATATTTGTAGATTGTGTATTGCTTAAGTCTAATAAAAGTGTATCTGAACTAAGAAATTTCTGTTAGAGGCCACAAAGTATTAAATGACCCAAATGCCATTTTATGATGAGTTAATTTTAAAGCTTCCTGATCCCATATTAAAAAACTTAAAAGATTGTATTTAATGTCAGAGATGTGAAATATGACATTTTGATGTTTCATTTGATGTTAAATTTGAATAATCATAAAATCTAGCTGGCGAATTACAGGCAGGTCCATGAATGATGTCATGTGGTTCAGTGGCATTTTGTTTATGATGTTGAGGAGAAAAGAAATCGATTCCCAGGGGAGTTGGCATGGTCTCCCTTCCCCATTCTCTGTGGGTTTTCTCCAGGTCCCTCCTGCACCTTAAAGATGTCATGTGAGGGGAATCAGGTGTCTCAATTGTCCCTGGTCTGAATGAGCGTGGGGTGGCCTTGCAATGCAAGAGCATCCTGTCCAGGGGGGTCCCACCTGGTGCTCTGAGCTGCTGGCTGGGCTCTGGCCACCACTGGACTTGAACCAGTGGGTTGGAAAATAATGACCTTGCTTGTTTTTATTACTCTTTCTTAAATGTATGTAGAGCTCACATTTATTTCAATACTTAATAATTTTGAGGAGACACATTTTGGTCCATAACGCCATTGTGAAATGAATCATTTTTGTAGGGTTTATTTAGTTGTTTGCTGTTGGTGTTTTTACAGAGAATCCTAGGTCCTTGACACAGCAATCGTACCTTTCACTTTCATTGGCTTCCTGGCCGGAGGGACATTTCTTTATTTCTT